ACCCTCGTGCTCGTTGGGCGGCAAGAAGCAACCAACTGCGAAAACCACGTCCACCTCCTTCCTGCAGTACAGAGGGGGAATACTGTAACATGCAGGAGGCCCATCAACATCCCAATCTGAAGGGTATGGACCAAAGGATGCAGTCTATGTATGAGCGATGTCACCTGCAAAATTATCGACTGCATCAACGCAAGCTGATTGACACAAGAACTGCCTACAGGCGTATGTCCACCTATCATTACGAACGATACATGATCCAATTACGTGCTCTTTTGGTGATTGAACATTCCGTCTGGTCCGTCTCACTTGGTTGGCACCTCTCCATTTTCTGGAACCTTCAACTTGTGATCTTCTCAAACCCTATAGGATCCAAGTACCTTCTCACTTGGACCCTGCAAACCTACATAACAGTGTCTCCAATCACCTAACCTGAGAAGGTACTTGGATCCCTTTTTAAACAAACAAATGTATAAACATGTCCATTTCGGCTAGAGCGCACCTTCTCCCCATGCATCGTCACCCGCCGCAAAGCGCTTTCGGCTCGCGCGCAGGTCGGTCCTGATTTCCAGGAGCTTGCTATGCAGCACATCCACCCGACCGCACACATCTCCGCAGGCCAACACACGCACCGAGGGGCGCCCCGTGATGACGTTCCTTATGGGCACCAAGCGATGATCGGGGGGAATGTTCAGGCCTCCGTGCGAAAGGGGGGTCTCCTTCTCCAACGCTGTGTAGGGCTGTATAGGTTTTGCTCCCAGAAAGGGACTGCATGTTGTTGATCTGACATCTTGCTGGCCAATCTTTTGGCTCATGTTGATTGATCTCCATACCGTTTTCATCTCACGGCCGGTTCTGGAATGAGAGGGTGTCATTGAAGGACAAGTAATAGCAGCAGCCCTGTAAGAACAAGGCCTTTACTAATCATCATCATCATCATCATCATCATCATCATCATCATCATCATCCACTGTTACAGGTAATAGGACAAACCCAACCAACCTCGGCATATGTATCATATGTACCACTACAGGATCTCATAAGGTCTCACAACCTCTCTAGGAGCGCACAAAGAAGGGGGACCCCTTCCAGCCTCTTCCCGCGACACGAAACCGCCTCTGACGGTGGACATGATGGACATGTTTTTGCACAAATCCGATTGGCTGATTCGGAGCTGGGGGACAAAAAACAACATATTGCCCAGGAGCTCGGGGATTCAACCATAGGGAAAATACAACAATCACCTTCAGCAAAACCAGGCATAGGATTGCCCCGCTCTCATGTTGACACATGACCACTTCACATATCGTCACATTATTGTTTATCACCCCAAACGCGACTGATCCAAGTGAGCAACTTGGCTGTGTTCAAATTCTCACAAATTCCAGACTCATCCCATCAAAACAAAGGGTTGGTGTTGTTCTTTTCCAGCTTCTATGCTTGACCCAGACGACCTTGCTCCCGCAATCAGACCAAGGATCAAGTGCTCGAGAGCCTGGCTGGTTTTGGTGCCATCAGTAGTCAGGCTATCGAAAAACAAGCTCTACAGTAACTGGAATTGACACCCAAAAGGATATGCAAATCAAAACAGTTTGTTCTTCCTGGAGCTTTTCTTGTTGGTATTATCCTCTTCCAAACTGGACAAGTTATTTGTCAGTGACTGAACCTCTCAGCTTCCTGGTAAGCGAAAAGGTCAACTTGTATCCCCCTGTTCATATCTGGCAAAGAATCCAAACGTTCAAGGAGGCACTGATGGCAAGCTCATACATACACCAAAAGCAGTTTGTCCTACACTTTGATGTTCAAGTGCAGTTTGCACACGGATAATCATCATTACTCCAGCAGTTCACACCAATGGACCAGCTCCAGCTTACTCTACCTGGAACCCTCAAGTCGGTGTCCATGCTTCACCCTTGCATCCCCTGAGAGTTCAAATGACTCACGTTTCTCCCCCTATGGCAGTGGTGGATTATGACTACGTCACCACCCCGCGCCGACTCAGCGCGTGGAAGCCGTGCCTCTGCTGGAGGCGCTGGTCTTGGAAAGGGCGTCACCGCCCCTGCTAGGCCTGCAACAGAGTTTGTTCACCAGTCTGATGGCGTAGTAGACAATTTCACATGGCAAAGTAGGTCCGGTCACATTGATATACCTTTTTCCCTTATCCAAGTGGACAACCATGTAGAAAGAAATTGCTCATGATGCATCAAGAGCTCATCATCTCAGGTGCGGAGACTTCTTAGGTTCTTGACTCTTTTCAGGAACGAGCTCGGGCAGTTTGGATTACTTTGGGCCAAAGGCAATGTCAGTGCTTGGCCCTTCTAAGTGTCCTGGCATCCCTGCAAAACCCAAACGGCCGCCCGTCTTAGAAAAATCTCTCCCTCCCGATGGACCTGGAGCTGTCGGGAGAGAACCGATGCTCTAAACCTCACTTTCTGGACGACCAAAGCCATCCATCTGCCAAAAACAAACACTCAAAGATGCAAACCTCCACTCAAGAAACATCACCGCACCAGGTGCTTTTCCTGAACCCTCAACCACGCGGAGCGGTGCGCCCTGAACCCTGAACCCTCAATTACAAGCATATATATATATACAAGCATCACACAACCACTAGCCCGGACTTCTTTGGATTGATGAAACAAACATGAAGCCAAACCGAACCACCTCGTTTGGGGCGCGCACATGACGCCACGTGCCTCCATCACCCCGTGGAAATGGAGTATACTCCTGGCAGATGAGGTCGACCATTGAGCCACTGAGATCTGCAGGGAACTACACTCCCTGAAATCATAATGGAAGTGGATGGCATGAAACGAAGTATGACCATCTTCCTCGACAAGCAGGTGGTTGTGCACTTCCATATAATCTCCGAGTGCACTTCACATGTCTACAATTGCCTTTTTCTCCATCCCTCTGTACCTGCTTTAGCAAGGCAAGGGGCATGTAGGAAGGGACCTCCGCACAAGTCTCACGCTCGAATTGCTGAAACACGCTCGAGGCAAATTTTCTGACTACAATTAAGGCACCAATCTATGCTTTAGGGATCTTTAAGGTACGAAGGATGGGGGCAGAAAAGAAAGGTACGATGGATGGTGCAGGTACATTGTCTTTTTGAGGTCAAACCACTCTTGCGGCATGGTATTTCGTTGGGATACAAAGCCCCAGAAGGTACATCCAACATTGGATAAAATCCAAAAAACGATTGGGGATGAGCTGGGTGTGTCAACTGTGGTGTCCTTCTTTTGTGTCAACTGAGCTGTCTGCCAGGTCTTTAAAGGTCATCCTGTTGAAACTCATCATACTAAGCTCATCTAAGCTCCCAAGATTGAACCCCTTGAATTCTCAATTCAGCCATCATTGAACATCACTAGTTGACACCTCAAAGAAAACATCGAATCCCCGTCAGACGAAGAACGCAAAAAGCTACGCCACTCACCCTCTCTTCTCCTGAAGCTTCACAGAAGCTGGACTCAGGGCCCAAGCTGGGGTGGATTGCGAGCGCGGCGAGGACTCCTTCACTGGTGTTGGGGCAAAGCCTGGTGTGGATGCCCCGGGCGTTGCACCGTGTGCCAGGGCGGGAGCGTGCTGTGAGGATGGGGTGGATCTCCGCAAGCAGGACGACCTCATGGATCCTGGAGTGTGTGTGGACACCCTGCCAGGTGTAGGCGCAAGGCCCGGCGTGGAACCCACCCCTGGTGTGGACGCCTCAAGAGCTGGCGTGCAACCTGCTCCTGGCGTCGACTGAACCAAGCCTGGCGTGGACCCTAGCGTGGACCCTGGCGTGGACTGAGCCAAGACCGGGCTGGAAGCCGTCCCTGGTGTAGATCCCTCAGCCGGAGTGGATTCCAAAGTGTGCGCTAAGGAAGGGGTGGAGGCCCCCATTGGCACGTCCATCTCGCACGCTGTTCAGTGCCAAAGTGTTTGATCTGTGACATGCTAGGGAAACGAGGTGGGTGATTGTTGATGGGTGCGCGGGTGGGTAATCATTGATTTTCATCCATGTTCCATGGTCATGATCTGTGACACCATTTCAGTGCGAATGAAGGCTTCAATCCGTGTGGAGTTTGTGCTTGCATCAGTTTGTCTTTTGGAGCTACTGGCCTAGGTTGCTGGTGGCGATGCCGAGCCGCTCCCTGCACTGGCTCGGCCATCAATAGATAGAATTCATAGTGAAATGTTTCGAGGGGGGGGTGGACTTCTTTCCACTATAGAAAGATCTGGCAAGTGTTGAGTGCACCAAATAGGCGCGCAGGCTTCATTCAAGAGTTCATGTTCATAGGTTCTGCGAATTGTCTCACTTGAACCTTGTGAGAAGGAACAAGCACATTGATCTTTGAGCAGGATGCAGGCTCATGACAGTGACTACAATATAGATCAATATAGTATCCATGTTGATGGAATAATATTGCATCAGTTGAGCCAACAAAGCACAAACACATAGGATGTGTTCCTTCAACCGTGGGATGAAAAACCATATACAGAAGATCAACAGCAAAGCATAACTGCATCAAGTCTAACCAGTCTGCTAAACCCAAAGAGCGCCTCATCTTTGATTCTCCGCGCGTTTAGCACCGTCCTTCGCACCGTCTAAGCCTCATCTTTGGACTCCGGTGAACGGTGAAACTGAAGATCCCCACTGGGCAGATCTTGAGCATCCCAAGGCACACCGCGAGCTGAGCCGGTTGGCACCCGCGTGTCTTTAACCCTGGATCTTTCACTATACATAACAGTATTGACCAGCAACATTGAAATTAACTGATTAATTACTATCCGCATCAACTTTGGTGAGGAATGGAGAGGCCCAGTTTCAAACACTGCCTGGCCAACTCTCTGATCTGAAGACCCTCTGTTGCCCAGAAGAAAGGTTGGCGAAGCTTAGAAGCTTATGGTAGGGATGGACAGGGTTAAACACACATCCTAATCTTCCAAACAATCCCTAAGTAGACCAGGGAGGTTTTTGGTAAGCTTAGCCATATACCCTGACTTTCATAGTCTTTGTTCCATCGCGAAACCAAACGCAGGGCAGATCACGCGGCATCACCTCGCGCCCTTCACAAGTCCACGATCTCGTTGCGGTAGACGCGCGGCGCAATGACCTTTGTCCCCGAGGTGAAGGGACAGAAGCGGTTCCGGAAGACCACCTCGGCGGTAGTCCAAGCGGTGTGGAGGTCCGTTTAAACCCTCCGTTTTTCGAGACCTTCCGCGGTGTGTAAGGATGAAGATCTATTGTTATCTATTGTTCATTAATTAATCTTTACACACTACATTCACCGCACCGTTTCTGTTTTCGCCGGTTCGTAAGTGGCACGCCCACCCGCACTTGTCCAAGGGATTGCAAACCGAAAAACAGTCTAACAAAGCAGGGCAACACCTGCCATTATCCTACCATCCACGCAATCTTGTCCATCTATCAATCACACAATGGCTAATTGCCGCTCCTAAAAGGTGATAAAGAGGAGTATGTAATGTCTGAGCATTCGGCTGCCAGAAACGTTTCAGGCAATCCAACATGCTTTGATCTGACATAATGTACCATCCAACCAACATGTTCAAGTCAAACAACTCAAGAAAAGCAACCATCCAGCATCGTCCAGTGAGTATGCGAATCTGCCTCACAAGGCTTCCGCCTCTGTTTTGGACTTTGCTTTTGACCTCAAGCCCAAGAAAAAGGCCGTGTGAAAGGTAAATTGCCGATGTGTCCATCCCTCAACCATTGACTTATCGAATCTTATCGATCTCTGGTCTTTCCTCCAACCAGTTCCGCACCTTCCCTTGGATCACTGCACCGGGGTCAAACTCCATGGGGCCTCGCGTTCATCACGCCACGCGTTCGTCGTTCGACGGTTACTGAAACGCGCGGATCGGATGAATACATAGGCCTTCATGTTTGGTCGGTCAGGAGGTGTCAAAAGTGATGAAGCGTGTTGTCTGATGTGTTCTTTGTTAATGCATCTTAATTCTATATCTAACTGATGCTGTCAAACTCACTGTCAAGTCATCTCAAGTTTGAACATGCTTGACACATGCAGGCCTCTTCTCGACTCGACAACAGAAACACCTTGTGTGTTGGATTCCGGGGATGAGGGTGACATGCAAAGCTTCCGCATGAAGGAACACTTTTTCAGCTGCTCTCACATCCTGCCAAATCTTAGTATCCAAACCTAGATGCTCGAAATTTCCAATGATGTCTTCTAGCCTCTCCTCCAAAAGAACAACTGACCCATACTGATTCCACCGTACTCCACCCACTCCATCTGCGCTCTAGCCAGATCTCTCCCTCTCGGTGAGGTGAAACAGCTCCCTGTCGCCTTCGATTTTCAGTGAGACGCAGTCCTTCAGCGAGGGCGGGCCCCTGGGAATCAAGGTCTCCATTCGATCCACAAACCTGGAGATGAGCCGAATGGTTCACTGCAGCGGTCACCGTTCGGCGTTTTGCGATGCACCTACCAGAGCGCTCGTCTTACTTGAGCATTGGTATATATATGTATACTATCATATCTATATATTATATACACCCCCAAATAAATAGAAAAGTAGATCATTAGATCCCCTCTAATAATGATTAATTAAGAATGTTTTGGGAACCGGTTCTATCTAATTGGGGGACGACTATCATCTAGAGTCCACAAATGTCCACATGTACATACTGCAAATGATCTCATTTTCCGCCTTCGCCAGCTCGCAAAAGAACGGAATAAGAACATGTGCTCATGAAACATTTGAGTTTAGCAGGTCTGCCTCAACCCGTCCATGGTGTGTCGGTAGGTCATAATATGGGTTCTGCTGGTGGTGCTGGGCTCAAGAGTAGGTCGTTCTAAAGGGGACCTTGCTCACTCAGCGAACAGATGAAAAACGTATTTGACCTGTCTCAGCGTTCTCATTCACCAAAATGAGTATGTTTGTCCAACCAATAAAAACAATAATTGTCATTGATGTTCTATCAGGAGACACACATATCACTTACCCAAATGCTCCACATATGGCACATTGGGGTGGTTTGAGGGGTCAATGCAGGTGTATATTATATTCAATACATGGAGCGTTTGGGAGATGTCATGTCTGTATTTAGGTCAAACCAGCAAACAATTTAGTCTGTAGCAAATCATTCAATTCCACGGCATATGGGTGAGTTGTGGCTGGCACCTCAATCAACCTTTGCAGCACACAATGATGTTCATAACCCAATGAGGTGCTTCTAGCAAAGTTGGCATCCGAACTCTCTGGAAAACAGCTAGACTCCCAAGATCTATGATGGAAATCACTTGTGAAGCATTGATATTTCAATATACCGGAGTATAGTACCCCAAGACACAACCCGACCCTAACCACAATCTGTTCCAGGTAACTTGTACATATCATCCAGCTTCACCAATGGCGGCACACCATTTCGCTCTGGGATTAGCTCAATCCTGAAGTCCTCCACAGGCACGGCATAAAAATGACATGAACTGATTGTTTGCCGTAACGAACGTGGCCGAAAGCATGACGCTTTTTGATTGAACCCCACTCTGTGACATGCAGTCACGATTTAATCATGTAGCAGGTGAAGGTGACCCTAAGGGCTGCAAAGAGCTTCCGGAAGGCCTCATGGCTCTACGGCCCTACACAAGCAAAGTTTGGTTTTGGTATTTGGATCATCCGGGCAGGGTTCCTTCACCCTGTGCCCCAATCAAAAGAACTTTTGCAAAACTTGGTCACCGCTTTGATGGCCTGATTCAAACAGATACGAACACACTAGGTGTTACAGCATTGTTCTGAGGATGGAAACCAAGTAGTGGCTTCTGCTATAGATGATAATTGTTTCATAACACAAGTAGTTATATTACTATATATGTATAAGTACAATTAAGTCTAAACTGCCCCAGGCTGAGCGTGTCTGCCTCAACTCATTGAATTGACGCATCTGGAACTTTGTCATTGATACAAACAATATTGACTGAGGAATAACTAAAACTATCCAACTCACTCAATGGGTATGCATTGGAATAGGGAGCCCCGTAAAGTTGTTCAAAGCCTCATTCAGAAAAGACCCAACAAACATGAAAAGCCTCCAACAAATTTATACAGCATGTAACGGTTTACAAAAGCTAGATCAGGTCTGTTTCCCTTCTCTCCCCCAACCAAGCGCCTTCACCGACACACCACTCCCAACGCTTCGCCCAACGTTTCTTCGACCGTTTTCTCCGACCTCGGTGAGCCGATAGGCGTCGCTGCGCAGCGCCAGCAGGTCGTCGGTCTTCTTCACCGGCGCGAAGCGGCTCCGGGGGATTTGGATCGCCTGGGCACCTGAGCCGTGTGGCCGCCGTGTCGGGTCGTGGCGTTGACAAAGGCGTGGAAGCTGCGGGTGGTGGGAGGCAAAAAGAGCGGAGTGAAGCGGAGTGAAGCTAGATTTCCGAGAGAAGGAAAAACAGGAAAGTCTGAACTCATCCCCTTCATAAGGGCGGGGGAAAAACATGCAGGTTCTAATTTTGATGAAATTAAGGTGGGAACTTGCGATACAACCGCTTGAGGGCGCCCATAATTTGTGCCAAATAAATTCTCAGAAACTATAGTCACTATCACCAAATTGACTTCGAAAGCAGCTGATAGCAGCTGCTTACCTTATGGTTCCTGCTACTCCAAACGGAACGCGACTGATCCCTTCGGCCCAACACCAAACGAACGGCCGCCGCGCCGGTTCAGGCCGCCCGTTCCGCCTGCGAAGCAGGAGATGGCGGCGCCCATGGCGGTCTCCAACTGGATGACTTTCGTCGACGCCTTGTCTCGAGGATCCACCGTCCTCGGCCGATGGCGCGATGGCGCGATGGCGGCCAGGCCGATGAGTGGAAGGGTTGACGGGTCGAAGTATGGACAGTATGGACGAAACAGCTTTGAAAGAAGGAAGATCAAACGTCAACTGGACAATGAAGAACAAACTCCGGTCCCACAGTGACATCTTCATGTCCAACTTTGGTCCGTTGGTCTTTCAACCAAATACAGGCAACATGAAAGCCCTTTCTTGGAACAATTCATGAGTTTAAGGTTATAACATGCTCAGTTCTCCAGTGAGAAGACTTTGTGCACTCGTTCTCCGAGCATCTTGTCGTTCTTCATCACCTGCAGCGCATCGCCACCCACCAAAAACGATTCACCCAACCAAGGGCAAAGGACCGGACCCCGGGTCCCAATTCTAATGGATGCGAGCATTGGCATTTGAACCAAACAAGAAAATGAAGACGAAAGGCTTGGCAAAGGACTTCGCCTGATCCCATCTCAGCCTATGAGGCGATCTCCAGCCAAACTGGTCATGTGAGCTCAGTGCTGTGAAGATCAGTTAATATTAATCCTCCTGTAAAGTACAAGTAAACATGTTATCATCCAAACAAATCGGGAATTCCAATTGGGTGTTTCTTGTTGGCATGTGAACAACAAGAACATCAATGAACCCATGCGTCCAGGTTCTCCGGTCAGCTCCGGGGGTCTATATGTTCAAGCTTGGCAGATCCGCATATATGGCTCATATGACAACATTCAGAAAATGAGATTCCGTGAGATTCCTAGATCTCCTTTGGCAAATATCGGCAGATTGGCAATCCCAGCTGCTGGCAAGGGCAAGGCCCCAGCATTCTGGTCGAAGAGTTCTTTCAGTTTTCCCAGGTGAACCCACAAGTTGTTCGTGTTGAAGTACCGGTACTTCGAGGTATCCTGTGCAGGGCAGCGGACATAACATCGGTGTGGAGATGCTACGGCTATGACTGTGGGTAGATCACTATCATCAAGCGGTTTTAATTACTCAGAATTCATCTAATTGCCAAGGTGTCATCAAGTGTTCTTCTCGCCTGGACGAATCCGGTCCTGGAAGGCCTTTTCGTCCTCTTTGGGACACTGAGCCGATTCCCGTAGCGTCAGGCCGCCGCCTTTGAGCGTGGCCAAATGTCCTCACGCGGCCATCGATGGTCGTCGGTTTGGATTAGTTGGCCGCAGTTGAAGGGTAGGTTTAGAGGCAATATGGTGGTACCCTAAAGAGTAGCCCAAAGGAAACCCTAAAGAGGTTACTTAGAGACTCCACAGAGGTCACTTGGAAGGTCCAGGTGGTTGCTTTTGCAATTTTTGAACTTAACCTTGAATCACTAAGTCTTCAGGATGTCGCCCTAATTAGGTGACCTACTTTCCTCCTAGTGTCCCATTGAAAGCCTCAAGCAAAGCCCAGTTGACTTGCTAATACAGAAAAAGTTACAGTAACCTAAAGCAACTATTATACCAACACCTGGCCTCTTGTCAATATATATATATAGAACTATAATAGACTGCAAGACTATGGTGCACTCTCGCTCGAATGAGGTCCACTTCCACCCATTCCTTCCCCTTACGATTCTCGATGCCTTGCGACCGGTGCGACTGGTGCGTGCCCTGGAGGGCGCTGCCATGTCGACTCCCCCAAGCGCCCGGTCTCTCCTCCCTTCTTGTCGGCATCCGTGCGCGCGGCCACTTCCATCAGGAAGGGAGCACCTCGCAGGGGTCCACCAAGTAGAAGACTTCGAGTCTAAAGCAAACACAAAATGTTGCGCATGCCTTCCCAGGATTGTTGATTATATCAATGTTCGGGTATCACACCCACCTGCCGGTGACCCCCGCCATCTGCATCTCGGTCTCGAAGTTGCTGGAAAGGCGATTCAGTGTTTCCCGAAAGTGAACCAATCCAAGAAGGCTGCATGAACCTACTTGGACCCGTGTCGATGCTTGGAAACCCTTCCTGGATTCTTGACATGCACAACCCGTCGGAAGAGCCCGAAGAAGAACAACACAATCCTGAAAACATACGTGAAACTGACACACCAACCATATGGGCAACTTGAATTGAATCAACACCGGCTCCTTTGCCCTTTCTGGCCCCAAGTCCATGTTGTAGCCCATATCCACATCACCCCAGAAACACACAATAACAGAAAACATTCCAACTTGTTCGCCTGACTGGGCGAAATGCGTCAAGAGCTTCAAGTCCAGGGTGGCTCCCAAGTTGTCCGAGTTGGACACGAACATGTACTTCACCCCCTGACATGTCGGCGTCGCGGCGAACACGCCGTCGTCAGACGGATCGACCACCGCGGACGCGGAACCGAGCCGATGGTGCAGCGAACCGATGGTGGGGTTCGGGGTTCGGGGTTCGGGATCGGATTTGGATAGATTTGGGGCTTAGAGAATCAAGGAGCCTCAGTTTGAAGGTTTGGTGGTTTGGTTCGGGTCCCTTGGCCTGCAGGTCAGAACATCCGAGCCCATGATTCATGATGCTTAGGGTAAAATGAAGTCATCACAGCCATCACAGCATAGAAGTTGAGCTGAGTAGTACCATTGTCTGATAGCTGAGCATCAGGCAATCAAACCATGGAATTTTGGGGTTTACTGGTTTACTCATCAAAGCTATCATTCTTGGCATGCAGGCTACTCATTGAAGGGCTACTCATAGCCACTTGCTGGATATATACCTTACATACTGTAACATATGGAAAAATAGCGATATATACTATAACATATGGGAAAATAGTAAATAATTCCACTCACTCATGAATCTGAAGCAGCAGAAGTGCAGCATCTCTTGTTTTCCAAGCATCCCTTCAGGATCTGTTTGTCCATTGCCTTGTTTTAAGGCTTTCTTGCTCTCCAAATCCCTTCAATGGTATAGCTGCTATAGGATAGGTTAAGTTGAGACACTAGAATCACTAGAACCCAAATCGTGCTGGACCAGTTCATACCGGTTCATTGGCTGAATTGAATGGGGAGTTCCCTTCTGGTACCGGGCAAAGGTGACTTTTGCATTACACTCCCGGACTGAAATAATCATGGAAGTGGAGTAACCACCTATTTGGTATTCGGATTTCATGGTCATCCGAAAAGAAAAGGGAGCCATCCACGTTCAAGGAGTATAGGACCCCCTTGACGGCCAAGTGCTATCTGGCGCCAGTGACATGCCGTGCGACAGTACAGATCCATGCAGTGCAAGCCAGCAGCCAATGGAAGGACTGTCAATCAATATACTTCCATCATCAGTGTACTCCAAAATACCCAGCCCCAAACCTCTAAACCCTGCCATGGTTCAGACTTTACCTGAAGCTTTTCACCAGATTGCTCCCAAAAGACACGTTAGTTCAGCCAACCATTCCACCAAGGAAAACAGCCGGCCTCGCCTTCGCCAGGAGTCGGTCCAAGGTGCCACTGCCCAACATGGCTGGGTACAAATCGCCATGCCCCGGTGGACCTGGAGCGTCACGGCGATGCAACACGGCGAAGCTTGCGCCGCGGTCAGACCGGTCCCATGGTGGAGTGGAGCCTGGCCGATGGTGGCGTACGAGGGGGGAGAGGAGTCTGTGAGGAATGGAGGATCTGCGGAAAGCTGCTTCAGAAGTTCTTCATGCGCATCACAGCTGGACTTGGTGAGATGTTTGATGTTGGGAGAGGCTGAAGGTCCAAAAGGCACAACACCTGCTCGATGGCTCGATCGACTAAGTGGAGCATGAGTTTTTTTGGTCGAGATATGTCTTAAGCGTCAATCAGTGATATCCCAGAATTGGTTCGACACATATTGAACAATAGTGAAACACATGCAGGAAACATGTTCTCAGCTTAAACATCCTTAAACCAATCCTGGGATGATATCTTTTAACGCTGTGGCTGTGGTCCATAAGGGTCACAATCAATATGCTTCGAATTAACCAGGGGATCGACCATGTGTGCTTGCTTGGAGACACAGACACCTACAAGAACAACGCGAGCGGGTGGAGGATACTCCTGGGTGGGGCTTCTATAAGCGGAAGCCAAGCCAGACGGTGGATATGAGAGCGCAAGCACCTGGCAAGACAAGCAAACAGACCTCAATTGCGTATGATCATCCGTATCATCCGTCTGTTTGCCTCACGGGCAGCTTATAAGCAACCGATACACCCACAATTAAGGGCCTAACAAAGGGAGTTTCCTCTGCCGGAGTACTCCAGGGTCCCAGGTTTGGAACATCTCTTAGGATTTCTCTCCCTGAAAAAGTCTGGGAAGTGGAGAAAAAACCAACGCAGTTCCTGAAGTCCGACTGGCGCAGCCGAGTGTCACCACTCATGGGATGGGTCCGCAGGCCACTCCGCCGGCTTCAGACCTTTTGCAGTGACCTGGGCAACGAGAACGGACACTGAGAGGTCAGGTGTATGGTGCATGGGAAGCTTCTGCTAGCCCGATGACGTGCTGATTGTATTTCATGAAAACTGCCACATCTTCAAGAATCTTGAATCTACATCCCACGGTCCCAAGAGATTCTTTGAGACAAGCCTGAGAACCTTTGAGCCTTCACTTCCCGAGTGCCTAGTTCCGTCCTCACGCCTTGGGTGCCTTGTTCTGCACGAACTCCAAATCGTCCCCAGTGCCCAAGGCAGAATATTTGCCCAAGGCAGCTAAGGTATCCGCCGAGGTTGAGAAGGAGTTCCTTGGTGAACGTGGGAGATATATGGCGCTCTGTCAGAGGGAAGAAGAAAAAGGATGAAAAAGGGAAACTCTGAGGGGTGGGAGGGAACTGAATGCACTGATGAGTATGATCATATACAGGAGATGCTTGGATATACCAGCCCAACGCATGCGACTCTGACTAGAATCTTGTTTCATACACGTATGCACAACACATCTTGTTTGATACACGTATGCACGAAACATCAAAAGATCTTGCAATAGCATCTCATACCCCTCTGCTTCCAAGTGACATCAGCATGAACTTCAAATCTGGCATGTTATAGGTTTTCTTCATCCACTCCACCTGTGCCGTCCGTTAACTTACGGTATACTGCACCAACAAATCATGGAATTCTTTACACAAACGCTGGAACTGTACTCCCCTGTCCAACAGCAAGGACTTCCAACAAGATGGTTCAGATTGCCTGAAAGGTGACTCGAAATCAACGCCACTCACATATGCTTGCAAAGCTCCTAAAGAGGACTCCCTCCCCATTGGCTGTTTTCGGATCATGAAGCCGTCTCGATCCGTCTCGAAACTCCTCGATTCGTCTCAGTTTGCTTCGTGCATCGCTTGCACCGGCACCTGCTTTGCAATGAGGTCCAGGAACGAGTTCCCGTCTGTCACTTGCAGCAAAGACTTCGCCTTTCGGAACGAGTGCATCGCGTTCGACCCACGTCACGAGACCTTCGAAGCGAAGAGCGTCCCCTTCTTCCGCGGTGATACAGCGGTGAAAACGCAATGCTGTGTGGTGAAAACGATGTTTCAAAGAACGAATCCGGTGAAAGGCGAAAACTGAGTGAGATTATTAATGACGTGAGTAATAATAATAGATCTATATAGAGGCAATTTGCGAACATCCATTTCCCTATACACTTCTAGGAAATCCGATGCCCATCCCCCCAAAAGGTTGTTGGTATCTTATCCGCATGGACCACGGGATTGAAGCCCCCGATACCACACAACCTGCTTTTGAACCGGAACATAGACTGTGGACAGCTTTCCCTTGCATCCTCCGAACAATCTCAACACCTTTTCTTCAATGCATCCCGAACGCCGCCCTTCCATGCTCTTCCCCAGCCGGGCCGGGCCACGGAACCTTCCTCGCCAGGCCAGTTTCCCACACCAGCACCACACCCACGCCACGCCTTGTCAAGGCCCATGCCAGTGCCCAGGCCACCATTCAGCTTCAAGACCACGGTCTCTTTTAAGAGTCCAGGATCCTCTGTGATCTTCAAAGCCTCTGCAGTTCGACGGAGCTGGGTCGCCTCCGAAAATAATGATGAGACGGGGATGTTACTCGGCTTCAGGGGGATTATCACCACAAATCCCCAACATCTACATACAGCCCATATCATTTCTATAGACAATAGATATTAATCCATCATTGGGGGATATGTAATGACATTTATATTTCATTATGTTTACCTCCAGTTGTCAAGATGATGACTTTGGGGCTGGCAGGGTATGCCCGAGCCTGACTCTAAAGAACATGTTCACCCTGGCAGAAGACTTTCGACTTCAGATTCCACCGGAGTTGGCTGTCTATCCAGGGCAGCATGTTGAAGGCCTCAACTTCACGAAAAGACAAGACCACATGGTCGGATCTCCGACTCTTGTGGATGGTCTTCAGTCGAAATCCGGCATTGGTTCTGAAACGAAAAGGTTGAAGAAATAAAAACAGTTTGTCAATTTGTGGGGTGTCCAGAATGTCTCAAAACCCGTCTGAGTGCGAGCACTGAAGATCGCTACGGACGAGGTTCTAGATGGGTCAACTCCTCTTCAGTCAAAAACAACGCTGGGAAACCCAGCGTTGGGGTGGGAAGACTGTGGCAACCCCTATGAGTGTCATCCCCATCAACCCTATAATGCTTGACCTCCTGGTCCTGCCGGGTCTTATATATCTACTGTAAAGTTTGAGCCCCGAAAAAGGACTTCTTGTGTCTTCTCCCATCCTGCCTACGCACAACCACAATTAAACAAACAAACCAACCAAACAAACCGAACCAACCAAACCAAACAAACCAAAACCAACCCGACTTCCAAACTCAAACCCATCCCATCCCATCCAACCAAACAGCCAACACAATGCGCGGCAGCGGGCGTGCCAACAACCACGCCTCCAAATCAGGAAGCGTGGCCACAGGTTCCAACTGCGATTCTGGAATCATCGTACTTTCTCCTGACGTCAAGACCTGCCCCCAGACCGCTGCCCCGAACGGCCGCTGCTCGGTGGATGAGAGACTTTCAAAGAACGGACCATGGGCCAGGAGGATCCAGGGCCATTCGATTTCGCGGGTGAGAACAACACTTTTCATGTTTCTGGCTGCCCAAAAAACATTCACCTTCACTTTACGGAAAAAAAATAAATCTTTGGAAGCGGCTAATTCAAAGCTGGGCAGTTCCCCCTCCAAAACGGTTCAACCGGGCGGGGTTTTCCCACTCCATGCCTTGAAGTTGTAGCGAAAGGCGCTGATGGCAGCAGCGCTTTCACTCTCCTCCCGAGGCCAATGAATTAGCTAATTACTGATGTAGTCCCTGGGGATGCCTGGGAGATAGAAGGAACTATCAAGCGACTTAGGAGCCAGCCGAAGGGCTGATTCCCAAAAAAAAAACAAAGCTTCAAGCACCTTCAAAGCGTCAAGCGCACTAGTTTTTTCAGCTCAAGCAAGACAAGAAACTGGTGCATACTTGCGCGCGTGCGGAAGCTGGTCCTTGCCACCAGCTTTCATCTTCTTCTCGTACTCTGGCCATAGCTCCTCGAAACTCATGGCGCGCAAACCACACGGACCGGAGGCCTCAACGGAGGCGCCTACGCATTCGACGCTGGCGATTGGCAAATGGCAGGCAGGTGGAGGATGTGGAGCGGACGATATCCGTAGAGGTGAGGGTTTAGGGGGTGCTCACCTTGTGAGCCCAACAAACGATCAGGCCTCCACGAGAAGCTGGATCCTTTTAGGTCTTCAAAGCTGGTTGTGCCGCCAACATATTCTCTGCAGCGTTCACGCCATTGGTTGAGGATTGGTCATTGACCGAGTGATAGAGTCACACAGCGTCATGTCCAATTTGCACCAAGCCAATGGAAAAACACACAAATGACAATGAACATCAATGAACCATGATTTCAACCACCTTGGGGATGGGCCGTGACATGCCGTGAAACGAGATTAAACCAGCCGAAACCGGGAGAGTCTGCGCTGGGCCATATTGGCATCTCTTGTCGGACGTAGAATATGCTCTTGTTCACTGTGAAAACCTTCTGAAATCACCAATGGATTTGTTTATGGCAAAGCCCATCAGAAACAATCAGGTGGGGGACACTCTATATTAAACACTCTGGCGAACACACAAAATCAACAAACCCTGTTGATGGCACCGAATCTGTGACCGAAACCTGGGAAGACTATCTTGCTCTACAAACAGGAAGTTGTCCGCTTCACTCGTTGGTAACGAAAGCATGCACTGGTTTGGGAGTGGCCTGTCCTCCCAGTCTTGGGCCTGCCTTTGGGATTGCGCTGGTGGAATGTGGTGTTTCAAACTCGACGGACCAGTCTGACCAAGACGATTCTATATAATTCATTGGTGCGACCAATTGGTGTCTTCTTTCTCCGCTCTGGAGCGCTCTCCGCTGCGCTACGCGCAGCTTCTGTAGGTACTGCAAATGGCTACAATTGATATCGTCCACGCCTTGCGGCGAGGGTGACACAGCCGCTGATGCTTCCTCTCAGAAGTTGTTTAGGAGAGCCTGATCTCCTCAGTCGCTGCTAGAAACGCTGTCAGCCACCAACAAACCAATAATCTAAGAATTAAGAAACTAACATTATGTGGAAGCAAACAAGTCCGTCCGGGATTGCTGGAGACTTCCAATGGCTCAAACTACGTCAAGTTACTTCTCTTGAGGCTCTCTGCCCATTTCTCTACCACAAATCTGGCATATGTTGGGCTCATTGTTGTCAGAGCACAGGAATACCCAACATTATAGCCACAGTGACCAAAGATATCACAACCTCTGATGGGAAGGTAAGTAAGTTCTTTGGCGGCTGCAGATCCAAAGCGATAATCTAACGCAGTTGCTGTTGTCGGAAAAGCATGTTCCAGCTCTCTTTCTCTTTCTCCTCCATGTTTCCAGTTGAATGCACAAGACAAACGAACACCCTAACCAGCCCTAACCATGAAAACTTCCGGCATCTTCCGGCGAATCTTCATGTCACGCTGTACCTTCTGCATGTTACCCCAAGAAAACATGAACCGAACAATAAGGGTCATGTCCTGGACGGCCATACCTTATGTTCTTCAAAAAGTTGCCGTTGGACCTCTCCCCCACCATTACTGTTTGACAACATCTGCAACAAAGAAGCTTTATCAAACTCTCCGTCTGTAAATATAACTTCCTTCCATCTGATTGATCGGGGCTTTCCTCAAACCCGTTTCTTTCAATATGTCTTCCTGACCACGGGTAACACCACCCCGAGCATGGCCGTTGCATGGCCTGGTCCTCCTTCTCCAGTATCACTGCAAACCTAAAATCGCAATCCAGTCACTGGGTGAACAAATGCATTCGGCACACAAACTATTTTCACTTCAAAAGCCTACATGCTGCTAGGCAAGAAAGAGTCAAACAAAAAGCTGTCATTCCTCAAGTTTGGGGGATAGGTAATAAAAACACATGTTTCTTTGCAATCTTTGTAACCACACTGAAAATATACATTTCTGATCACCAAGGATGTTTGCAAAGGTATCAGAAAGTGGTTGATGACATTGAACATCTGACTATATACACCATATATAATATTTAATTATCAGATTGTCTATATAAGCGTCTTGCTATGGCGATAAACCTGCAGAAAACCTGCCTAGGAAAGTCACACAGGTATTGCTAACAAGATTGAAGCAACACAGCCCAATCTCTTGTTACTCCAAAAGGTGGCAACGGCCAGTTTACAATTTCACTGTGCTCTTCAACGAAACGATGGCAAGAAGCCTTGCTTGCACAGGTCAAGCCTCGAACCTGGGCCTGATCAACCGTGGACATTCTTCCCGCAGCTACGTGAAGCTGTCTGGACATGCAGTTTTGGGCTCTGGCGGCCATGGGAAACAAAGCAGCTTCGTCATGCCCCCTTCCCCCCGTCCTCGTTCCCGCCCTCGCCAAGAAACAAGGCCAACCACCACTGTCGTGTCGTCCAACTTACCCCCGCGGAAGGACAAGCCCTCCGAGTGGGCTGCCAACGCGAAGGGTGTGATGATGTCCTTCTCGGCCGGTCCGGTCAGAAAGAAAACAGCCGTTGTTGGCTTCATGAAAAGCACCCAACCCTTTGCAAACAGCTGATCCGGTAGCTGGTTGAATGTATTTTCCAGTAGGTGCAGGGTAGCTGGGATCTTGGCCGATAGCCAACTTTAACTGCTGCCAAACAATAATAAACAATATGAATTGGAGAAACTTTGGCCACTTTTACCTTCACAATGTGCAGCAAGTTTCATCTTGTCCGAAAAACGATCTGTCTCATTAAGGCTGGCTGAACATGGCGCTGTCTTAAACGAACCACATGGACATACTGTGACATACTCCTACAATGGGCTTTGGTGAAGTGACACGTTGGCTTAAAGCACCGAGACGAGCGGTCATCGAAGGGATTCGGCTGCTTGAACCCTGGACTTGACCGTCACAGGACCGCTATATGCAGGTGCCAAGTTATTTGCAATCCGCTAAGAGTGCATGAATTTATCTTGCATTCCGCGCAGGTCCGACCCAGGTCCAAAACCTGGTCCTGAAAACCTCATGGAGTAAATAGCATTCTAATATCATTATCTACATATATTGTATAGTACAGTGTAGTATGTGTATTTTTGAATATGTTTGTATGATCGACTCCAGTATCATGGTCGTTCACCAACCTGTAGGGATTGAAACTCAATACACAAGTGGTCTCGCATTCTTTTTTTGGTCGTCGAACCTGGGCTTCATGCGCTGAACTCATTGAATCGGTTTTAGTCGAATATGAAAGCAACATGAGTCTAGCTAATACGCCCTTCCAAAAGCCAGTCGATTCTGCTGATGTCCTTGAAGCCTTGTGCAAACCCTATGAATGTTTCAGTAGATCTTTAGTCCGGCTACAAAACTAGCCACTCCTCCCCAAAAGGATCACTCTCCAGTGATTTCATGGACCATTTCCTCATACCAGTTCCGCAGCGCCGCCATGCGCCGCCTGCCACCAGTTCCGCTACCCTGCCGCGGCCGTGAACCGCGTCGCGACCTCGCCTTATGATCTTCCTGTTGACCGATTCGTTGAGCCTGCTCACCCGCTCCGCAGATGGGGACGGCGGGGAGGTAAGAAACAGCACCGAGGGAGCAGGGGGAAGCTACAAGTGGATCCGTTTTTTGACCCAACTGGGGCACCGTTTTATAAGGTTTTGCTGCATGATGCGTGTGCTTTTTACTTGTTAAACAAGTACTCAGGCCACTTGCCATCTGCCAAACTCGGGCACGTTCAAACAACGCCATTTTTTGGGAAGGTGAAGTCGGTGCCATGGACGCTCCGGAAGATCCTTGGAGGACAGACCCCGCTCGTGTTTGGCTTGGGCTTCGTGTTTGGACCGAGCTTCTTCCAGCGGAATGTGCTGTGGCTCCCAACTGCCTGCTGTGCTTTTTTGCTGGTTGGTCCGATGGGACGTTGCAACCAAGTGATCAGGCATTATAGGGCAAATGAATGGGTGCTTAGATGGGCAGGGAGCGTGGTTGCATGAGATTGTGGCAGGTCCAGGCTTGCTCCTGGACAACAAAAAGGGATGTTCACCAGCTCTATGCTTGCAGAAACATAAAACATGTCCGATCATCCCTTTGGAGCTAAGGGTTGTCTTCCCCTACTAGCCCACGGCCGTGTGATGTCTCGATCTCTTTGGAAACCGCTTTGAGTCAAAAAGCTCATTCCCATCCATGCTCATCCCACCAACCTTACAGGCAGTCCGCAGCTCTCAGCTCTTCCACCACAATATTCGCTCGTTCGCGCCTGTTTGGCGATGCTCGTCGCCAAACCGTTCAAGTGCGGCGTGACCTCGGTCTGCGCCATGCATGGAGCTCCGACTTTATGTGATGTCTGCAGAGCGCGCTGATTCAGAGCTCCATCAATCTGTGAACCAGGGTTTTGTTCGTTTCTATGGTTTTTAGTCTTTGGAATCTTGGGAGCCACTGGTTACCAGCTATATGAGTGATGTGCCTGGGATCTCCTAAAGTATATACCCGGAGAACCGGAGATACAGCTCAATGACCATGCTAGCGATGTTGGTGCGATGCCGAACGCGTGCCATCCTCTTCAGCACCCACCTCACCCGGGCACCGACCGACCGGTGTTTTGATCAGAAATGACATGAAATGACCATATTTTTTTTGGGTGGCTTCTGATTCAAAATCAACGTCACTCAGGGTTCTAAGGTGTACGCCATCTTAATTTAAAGTTCTATGGACCACTGGACCACCTAATTAAAGTAAGACTTCTCACTTATCTTCATCATCTTCGTCTTAACTGGCAAACAACGATGCGACATCGGCCGTCATATGCCTGAATGACCTGGGGTTGGGTTCCCCGGCAGGTGCGCCTTGACTCCAAGCTTTCCCGAGCTGTTGCGCCACAATGGCTTGAACCTGCGGGATGCTCGTGTGACGCGTGCGTTTTTGCTCGTGGATGCTCGGGAAGGGCGAGAAAGTCGCACGGAGTCGGAGAGTGCCACTTTGGAAACGTGGGACTTTTAGGACTTCCAGATGCCCTGTCAAGCTTTGTTGAGAAAACAAAACCATCCTGCAAAGTCAGATGGGGGGGTGTTGGCGTTGCTGCCCTTGTATTTTCTCAGATCCATTGAATGCTTGCGAGACCTGCTCTGAGCTCTCCCGAAGGTCGCCGATGAACTCTGGCCAAGAACTATAGGCAAATGCTGGTAGAAACTCCAGCAAGGCATTCCGCGTGTTTTGTTGGTTTTTCTCCAGGACTTGGTCCATCACTGACAGCGAGAAACTCTCAGCAAACTAGGACATCCTAACCTGGTTCTTCCAAGTCCCTTTGATCCCTTGGTTTGAGATAGGCTTGTAAAAAACTCACAAACAGGTCCAAGCAGGTCACAAACTGAAGAAACTGGAATGTTATAGTACTGCAGGTGAAGTCAATGATTCTTATGTTGCTGCATGCAAGCCCTACAGTGGCCTCAAAAGACATAGAAAAGGCAATAACATACTATAGCTTGGGTCTATCGGTCTATCCAATTACCAGCAACAGTGGATGATGATGCGTGGGTTGCAGGCCGACATCTTGTGGATCCTGACGGCTCTACAGGTTTACTCATACAGACCCAAAGCTTAGCAACGACATCGCTTCCAACATCGTGGCTTTGGGATCTCCAACATCCACTGGGAGTTTCAATCGTTTCTGTTGACGACAATTGAGTTCTCCGAACCTAGGTACAGCCTGTGTACAACTGTTTTGTAGAACCCGTAGATTGATATAGATTGTGGCTACTTTGGAGACATCGACACTACACTTGTACAAACTTATATGCTAGAATCATGAGGGACCTTGTAATCTATAGCTGTCCACTACCTGGCCTTCACTGTGTCTTGAAGGCAGCATGCCAGTCAAATGAAGGTCCAGTATCACGCCTGGTGATCGAACAAATTGTCGAAGACACCATCAGTGGCGGCCACCACCTGGACGTGTCACGGTAGATGTTGAGACATGGCCAAACAAAGAAACAGAAACTACGACCATGAACTCCTTATGGATTCTTCACGGATTCTTATGGATTCCTTAGGGATTCTAATGAAACTACTTAGTTCCTTATGGACACTTCATGGAGTTGTATTCCGTGTAATGAATCTGTACTCTTTGCGGTTCAATCCACCACCAGCGGAACGTCTTTTGTGCTCAGGGAGGGGAGTACAGGCAGTCGACCCTCAGTCTCACACCTGTTTCCAATGCGAAACAAAAAAGCGTCTTGCCAGGGGTTTTCCTTCAGACTAGCGCAACCAAACGACAACAGGACTCTCCAAAAATAACCAGATTTGGAGGCGAGTTTGTGGGAAAAACAGCAAACACCATTTCCAAAGACACCAAAAATCCTCCACGCCACAAACGCCACAAACTCTCTCTTGTTTTTTTCCCTGGAAGACGCCTCTTCTTTCACTTCATCGGCCAAATCTTTCTACCAATCCTCGATGTTCCTCCCAGTCCTATCTCCCACTCTGCTGGCGGAACCCGCACCAGATCGCCGATCCGCACCCGCACGCGGATGAAGTCCGGAGCCTGCAACGGTTTCGGCACGGAGCGTTCGGCCGCGCCACAGAAGCTAAGGTGCGTAGACCAAGGTTCTAGGCCACTGAGCAGGTCACATGTCAAAGCGACCGTAGTCAACGACTTGGCATACCAAATGATCCATCCGAGCGATGAGAGCACGATTCCTTTTTAAGAAGTTCCTTGTACCCCTCAAGACTCGAAGGGTTCAATGCCCAAAGACGTGAATTATATATAAAGTTTGGCCCATCCCCCAAAAAAGATGTTTGGATGTATTTGGCATTTGAGCCAGGAACTCTGGGGTGGCTGTAAATTGACATGTCCACAGTGTGGAAGATTCACCATGCTGGTGGTTTGGATTAGGGGATGGGAGTGCACTTTGCCAAACAAGCCCAAACAAAGCCTTGACAAAAGCAGAACACACGCTTGAAACAACAACCCTGCCAATTGCACGTGCATCAGCCGTGTGCGGCGTTTTCTGTTGCTCCCGGCAAGAGTCGAGTCTTTGATAAACATCTGATCAATTCTCCACCAATTGGATCTGCAGGTGTTTGATCAAAATGTCAGACCCACAAGCAAGGTGCTATCTGGCAAACTGGAATCAACACATCAGTTAACTAGAGGCTCTGTCTGGGTCTTTGTGGCATCCTCTCGGGCGAGATCTTTCAGAGCCCTTGATACGACAGGTGCCACCGGTCTGGTTCATGTCGTCAGGCACAGGCATGCTGGGCCATCCTTTTTTTTGTACGGTGCGAAGTGGCCAGTGTCATGGCACCCAGACCACTGGCACCAGCGCCACCGTGGCAGCATAATATATGCAAGTTTCCGACCAAAACGATGCCTGACACGAGGCACTTGGGCCACCGGTGTCAGTGTCACCAGCGTCTCCCCAGCATGCCAGGAGAACAGTCTTGTGGACAAAGCGATGCCGTGTATTCAACAAACGCCGCCCATGTAATGGACCCCCTGAAACGCATTTCGTGGAAATTGTTGAAAGTCTCGCCGGACTGTTGGACGCATATTTGCGCAGGACTGAAACGTCGACCCCTCGCCCTCATTCGTTTTTACTGCCTTCTCCATGAACGCCTGTGCGTGATGCCCATCAGCAGTTCAGCAGCATTTCGATTCTTCCGATTCTCAAACTGCTTCAGGGCGCCTGGAAGCTGGATCTCATCGTGCACTGTTCTTTGCTGCGTAACCAGTGGACACAAGCCCAACAAACTGCGGAATTAGTCATGTCATGTGTCCTACATAAAGGGATCATGAGATAGACTATAGGACAACAACATCGTGACTCACCCCACCTTCCTTTGCAAATTCTCTGCGTCATGGTTCGTCATACACTACGAGCCAGCGGCAGCGTCCATCCACAACACTAAGCCTGAATGGCGGCTTGATCGAAGGACCACGTGATCCGCTCCGTAGCCTGGGCGATGTCTACACCGTTAGTGTCACCCATGCAGACCACTTTGAACGCAGGAAAGTACCACTCTGACTCTTCCCTATAAGTCGGGGAGCAGGCTGCCTTGAAAAGGATTGCCAAAACAGTTCCGATGTTGCCACGTTTCCAACTGCTTAATGAGATAGAAATAATTCGACAGATCATCACCACTCGCCCTGACACTCCCTAAGACCAACTGGCCCAGCGTGAGGCCGGCAGGCAGCTGGCACCAGTTGACTCTCTTTTCACGAAGGTTGACGGGTCGTCTATCATTTATAAGTCTATCACTTTCAGGTTTATGTGGCGCGCAGAACAGTCCAATTTTGATGAGCCGGCGTCCCTCCGCTAGGACCTCAGGCTTGTCTAAAAAGGTGATCATGTCAGCTGCATGCAACTTACGAAGCAGTACAGGCAAATCTTCACGCTTAACTTTGTGACACGGGCCATCATGCGTTGTAGGTACGCGTACATTGAACAGCCAAAGGATAGCCTCGCCTAAATCGGGACTTGCCCGAGGTTTGCTCCATGGGAGCCTGGACGGGAACAATGTGGGATTCCTGGCTGGATGGCCAGGTGTCGGCGCCCCAGTCTCAGAGAGAGAGAGAGAGAGAGAGACATACTATTATATGGATCCGCAGGTAACGTGCAAAGGATCCATGCTGCTTATTATATAACTATTGCAAAAGGCCCACCCTCCAACGCATCATGCTCATCAAGGGGGAACCCAGGTGAACTAACTTCGCAGTTTGTTTTTCTGGTGTGTCCGTGGCTCTTTCGTTCTGACATAGGCTGCTACTGTCTCCAGTTCTTGCACCTCGCCCCCGAACTTTGGTCTTTCGAGGGGGTCCGGCAGATCCAGCAGCAACCAAGCAGTTCTCCATTCCCGGTTGTCGAGGGCAACTTGGTGCGTGGCCCTCGGAAGTTGCGTGACCTGAAGAGCGGCATGACTGGTGCGGCCCTTCAACAAAGTCTGCAGAATTTCCGACAGTGCAATATGGTATCTCATCAGCGTGTTGAACTTCCCCCGCTGCAAACGGCGAGTGAAGTCCGTCAGCTTGTATGAGCTGTTCCGCGACCTCCCTCACATAGTGCCGGACATGCCTCAGCAGGTTCTTCCTCCGAAGCTTATTGCCTATCGAAAAGCTTATGCCCTCCACCTCCCTTCAGCCTGACCTCCTCTGCTGAGCTTGAACCCTCTTGGCTTGACCAACTGTTTTCCTCCAGATCTGCGGCCTTCTCCTTCTTGTCCTTGGACCGACCCCTCATGTCAATTCTCGGAGCAGCTCCAACTGAATTAGGGCATTCAGATCGACCGCGTTGCCGGGGCTGGCAGCCTGAGCTATAGCAGAGTATCCAGCGTCTGTTCCTTGCTGGGAGAGGCACTCTTGATAGCGGTGCTTCCGATCTCCATGATTTCGGTCTGCATTTCCGGAGCTGGCGGCATCTGGTCGGCTTTTCTGAGAAGCCTCATTATGCCATCCTCGCAGTCTGACTCCAGACTGGTGCCTGCAGAACTGTCTTCCTTCCCAAAGGCTTGCTGGCCTCTTCTGGAAGGTCCTCTGACGCAGTGGCGTAGTGGACAGACTCCTCTTCGGCCTGCACCTGCAAAGCTTTCTCTCGGATGATTCCGGATCCATCTCCAAGGCCCTGTGCCTGCGCGCATGCTGACCTCACACGGCCCCAATCTCCTTCGACCAAACTGAAGATGCCAGAGCCAGAATCCACTTTAAAAACTGACAAGGTCTGATCAGCCAGTTCGCCCTCCAACACCCTCGCTGCTAAATGCAACTTCCCACTGGATTTTGCGCTGACAACCACTGCTTGCCGCCAAGGAGGTGAAAAGCCTTCTAAGCGCAAAAGCACCGTGGACTCGTCACTCATTGCCAGATGAAACTGCGATCTGTCCAGCCAACTGGTGAGGATCAGCTGCCCGATAGTCTCCCAAACAGCGCAAAACCGCAAGTCAGCCAAGTCAAGAAGGAATCTTCTCTGAACCCTTCTGTCCACAAAAGCAGTTGCAACGTTTCCAGCCACTGAAGGTTCGTCCAAAACAACTGACTTGGAACCTCAAATTGCGAAGAAAGGTTCAGAGGATCTGGCAGGATATCTTCTTCAGAGGGATCAAGGAGGATAACGTCTTTCGGTGCTTGGATCAATGGCGCGGGGCGAGAATTCACAAATCAGAATCGGGTTCGGGTTCCAATTGGGACATAGAACCGAGTCGACTTGAGCCACATTGAAACATGCAATCATAGTATAATATAGGTAACTTAAGAACATTCGTGATTATCGCAGTTTCAAGCCCCCGCTTTAGATCAGCCTTGATCAGCCCTTCCTTTGCCAGGATCCCACAAACCAGAACAAACCAGGTGTGCAACGGAAAGCAAAACACACACACACACATGACACATGAAAAACACATCCAAAAACCCGGAACCGATACATGCACTGAAAGGCCCGTGGGGGCCACACAAAGTGTTTGAAGTCTGGAGGCCAATACAAAGGGTTTGTCCACACCTCCACAGGTGCGTTGCCACTGCCCAGCTGGTAGGGGCAATTGAAATAGTGCGTCTGGTCGCAGGACCTCAGCGAGAACGCAGTCAGGTCGCAGTCAGGTCCCATGGTGCACGGCGGTGGCTGGGGCGGGCTCGCCGGAGGTACTGAGGGGGTGGTCCTGGGAACTCGAAGAACCAGGGAATATAAAGAATCGAGCCGCGGCGAGCCGCGGACCAAGTCGTTTTGGTCACTTTTGTTTCCTAGCGAAATGAAGGTACGTAGATCATTGTAGATCAAGCAGTGAGGTTGGATTAAATGGGCAAACAAGAAGCATGAACTGTGATTGCCACCACTCTTCGTACTACTGTGCAATACTAGCAATACTCCATATTGCACCACTCATGTCACGTCAGCCACCATACTGTAGCTCTTCCCTGCCAGAATTTTTGCAATCTTTACAACATACTCTCCTCCAAGGCATCATCTTTCATGCCTTTCATCTACCCCTCACTTCCGTACACTGTCCCACACTGACCCTCAAACATCCTCAAACATCATCAACCATCCTTTTTTTCAGCCGCCCCTTCACGTCACCCCCTTACGTCTAGAAGCCGGCCCGCCCCCCATTTCAACCCACCGGTCCCGGTCCCGGCCGATGTCGGCCAGGCCAGGCCTCCCGGCCGAAACACCACGCGCGGGAAGAGCAGCGGGGAGTCGGATTGGGGCGGCGTGCGCAAGGCCGGGCGCAGGAGCATGGCGCCTGCAGCGACGTGGTGCGTGCAGCGACACGGTAAGTGCGGCAGGTCGGTACGTGTCGAAGGTATAGGTGGGGCGTGATCGGCGTGGTCTGAAACACGTGGCTGTGATGGACAAAAGTGAAAGGTAATAATGGTGAAAAGTCCATGTTTGATATTAGATATTAGTATCAATGATGGATCAATGATGGGAGATTCATGGAGAATCCCATGATGGACCTTTTTCTCACTTTTGGTGGCCTTCAAAATGTTCCTTTGTAGAGCTTGCGGCAGGTCGACGCGACAGGAGACCGTCCTTGCAGTTAGTTTGTCCCCTTGATTGACGACCTCTTGTCACACCTTGGAAAATAGTTGCTTCCGCTCAAAGTATATCCTGCTAGGATGACCCTGGATATTCCGGCGCCTAGAAGCAAATGCTAAACAGTTTCAACCAACAGTTTCCGTGGAACTGTTCAGCTGGAAATACAACACGCCAACAACACCCACAATCCCAACGACCTACAAGCAGTCTTGCATCACTAGGTATCACAGCAAGACTGACCTTTGTCACCTTGGTGTCCAGAAAGACCTTCAACCCAACATGCTACTGGGTGTTCGTCAATTTGCCCAGGCCGAAAATACTAACAACAGAACACTTCAAATACCAGCAGCATGTACTGTAAGCCACCAAACTACAGCAAGTCAGACTCTTTCATTACGACCAAAGCAGCTCCTTCTCGGTCTTCCTGTTCCTCTTTGGCGAATCATTTTCTCACCAACTGGGCGCCAAAAACGTGTTGTCTCCAGTGTCCTGCACGGTGGGACCGACCCTCTGCGACCCTCGGGTTTTGAGGTCGACCCCCAAAACGGGTTGGTCGCCTGAATCGCCCAAGTTCAAGATGCCCATCGTGGAGCCATCGAGTTGTCCCAGGAGAGCCTCCAGTCGGCCATCGAGGACGTCGGTGAGCCCCGGTGCGGTCAACAGATGGACGTGACGAGACAGACCAATCGACCTCCGATCCTCCGGGCGAAAGGATGATGCTGGAAATTACAATGGGACACCGCTCTTTTTTTGTGAACCGTACGTCTAAAAAGCAAAGACCATGTGGAGCATCAGCATCCCGTCACGCAACACACACCAACGATACTCTCGAAAATGCTAAAATATGCTAAAATCCCTCCTAAAGAGTCCATAGAATACTGTATATAGTTGTTTTGCAACAAAGCTCCACTTATTATAGATCGAAGTCGATAATACTTCAGACTTGGTGCTTCAGCATCCTCCAAAATATATCAAAATATGCCAGACTCATCGTGACTCATGCTCTGCCCAGTTGTAGGGAGTGAATCATGAAGAATCTTCACCAGCCAACACAGCAGTTCAGTGCCAGTTGCAGTTCATCTGAGTTGTGTTTTTTTTTGTGGTGTGGGGCTTATACACTGGGTCTGTACCTACGCGGGTGCCTACGACTGGGCTCCCCTCTCAAGCAAATGCCTACGCGAGAGGTTCTCTTTGTTAGGTGCCTACGCGGGATGCCTACGCAGGGTACTGTCACCAACTTTAGTCACATCAGGTGACTCGAAAATAGAAGAGCTATATAATCCGCAAGTAGTGGCCCGATGCGACCGGGTCACATCAGGTTCCTGTTTACAAGGCGTTTACAGCTTTGCTACCGATGGCCAGATAGATTTTGTATCAAGCCGATCCAATTACAGTGTGGAAGCAGCAGCACATAAGCAGCGCACAACAAGCAGAAAACAAGAGGCAGCAGCAGCAGCAGCAGCAGCAGCAGCAGCCAAGCAGCAGCAAAAGCAGCAGCCAAGCAGTAGCAGCAGCCAATAGCTTCTTGCCTACGCGCTGCTTCCGCGAGCGCCTACGCGGCGCCTACGCGAAAATAGGTCCATTGATTATGGTACCAACAGGGTGCGCACAGTTGTAGCTCAAGAGCCGGTGTGCCAGACCAAGCACGATCAAGCTTTTGACCTCAAAAACCAATGTGCCCCCATAGCTTCGACAAACAAACTTCAAACATCCACTGTAGCCATGTCGTTACAATTCATTTTCATTTTCCTTCCCCACTGGAATTTGCAAGCAAGTGTCAAGTTAAACAACTACAAGCCAACATTATCTTTCCCCAAGACCCTTGAACAACTTTTAAAGAAGTCTGAATAAGAAAATTCAGGCTTTCATGAAAAGGGTGCCTACGCAAGACTGCCTACGCAAATCTTTCAACACCCACCTACGCAAAATGCTTACACGACGCCTACGCCCCAAGCAGAACAGCCTCCGCGACTTCTCAACAGTTCCCTTTTTGTATAAACCTAATCATTTGCAAAAAAAACGTGGCTCATCTGAGGGCTCCGACAGTCGAGCCACCTTCCAACTTTTCTTTCAGAATCCGTTGTGTGGCTTCCAGGAGTGCCTCCCAGTTTTTCACGGATGCACTTCAAGCTTGCAAGCAAGATCTGAGAGTGACAAGAGCAAACATAGGACTTTTAATGCTCAGCCAAATCTCGTACCATCAACACCACCTTGGAAAACATTGTCAGAAACAAAACATAGAACTTGCATTTCCTATTCAACCTGGCTCCGTCTCAATGAAGCAACATGAGCCACATTTGCTCGCACCTGCCCATCTTCACACTCCAACCACCGGGCCTCGTGAAGGTCGCTTTGCTCTTCAATGCCCTGCGAAACCCGGATCGCGACAAGTCACTGGCATCGCCGGCATCGCACAACTGCTCGGTGACCGGGGCGAAGCTGAAGCCCACGGATGTTGGGAGTAGTATGAACTCTTAAGCCATGTCACCCTCTAGTGATTCTAATGATTCTCTTGGGTAAATCAAGCAATCACCCGAACGGGTTTTGTACATGAACTACGGCAACACAAAAGGATCGCAGCATGCTGGTCCCATACAACTCAAGGTTGGCTACTGGCTTAAGTCACCAGAGCTGAAGGGCATGCGCTGTCATCAGGCCTCAAGTGGAAGATCTCTATCCCCGTCGACAAAAGTTCGCCTACGTTCTTGTGATGAGAAGACTCTGAATGTATTTTGTGACAGCCCGCAATACTCCAAACTGTCAGGTGCACATTGTTTGTGTTCTATCCGGCAGCGTTTGGCGTCACCAGAACTGGCACCTCGAGACAGAGCTGTAAGAGGCGACGTGCAAAGAGGCCAGGGTCAACGCCTTCGGCCGGTCGATCGGCGCGATTGGGGCGGTCGAGTTCGAGGCGAAGAGTGGGACGAGGGCGGGCCGATCGGGGCGCGGTCGAGGTTCGTGGATCGAACAACGACACGACCTGTCTGGGACGACACGCATATATCTATTGTTGATGAGGTGGTTTGAGGGGTCAATGTACGTATGGTCATATGTTCTATAGATATGGAATGGTACATGGAGTGTTAGGGAAGGATATTCTGTTTTGGTTGGAGGACAAAAGGCCGCCAGAAGATCAGCCTGCTCCGACACCCAAAGACGGTCTTTTCGAAAAAAGAACGTCATCATCATATACGCTTTTGTGCACCTCATACGTTTGATGCATGTTTATCACACACTCCCCCGGAATGAAATAAGAAATTGGACCATGTTGCATGGAGTTGCATGGAGTTTTTTTGTGAGTTGAATCGACCAAGGTCTCGATGTGACAGGGACAACATTGGACCCTGCCGTTCAGCACCCAGTTCCATGGAACTGTTGGGAGGGTGTCAATTCCTTTGAGAAAACAAAGAATGAACTGGGCTCATTCCCAACTTGGGAAGCAACATGAAGCGATATCATAAGTGACTTGGGTGTTCATTGTAAATTGGTAACTTGTTGTTGATGAGAGCTATGGCACCCGGCCTCTGCCTGGCCGCCATGGTGGAGATTTGGAACATGGAACACCGATCATCACTGGGGCTGAATCTGTTCCACTCACCTTCCAAAAAGTCCCTGGGTGAACACGAACTGCTTCTGTCTGACTTGTAGCTCGTAACCTGCAGTCTCGTACCATCTTCACCCTTCCATCCACCGTTCCGACTCGGCCTCGCATTCCTTCGATCTGGGCCCCACACCATTGTCGGCCCAGCCGCCCACACCGTCCGCCACACCAAAGGCACGCCGCGCGGGACAGGCCTCGAGTTGGTTGGGACCGAGTCGCCTGAGGTCTTTCGAGGGTTGGGCTAAGTCTCAATTGGTGACCCTCACTACCAGGTCGGCCTGCTAGGGCAAAGCTTAATTTGCTTCGTGCGCACACCATGAACCCTGCATCCAAGGAGCAAAGTAGCCATCTTCGCCGCCTTTCTCCACCTGCGTCTTCACCGACTTCACGGGACGTCCGGGGCTTCACCGGATCGTCACCGGATCACATGTTGGGATTGGAGCCAATCAGTTGGGATTGGAGCCAAGCTGAACTACATATTAGAGGTTAGCAACAAACTGAGAAGAAACACAATTTGTTCAACAGTTCTTCCATCATACACCTGGCCTGTGTTTCATTGTTAACCATGATCTTATATGTACCTTCGCAACACTGGAATGCATCGTTTTGAAGGTACATGATTCTATCCCTCAAGAGGGCACAGGAAGGTTCAAATAGTATGTGTTCCAAACCTCAATCTATGGAACTACATCCTTTTTCAAACACCGGACCCTAAGGTAGGTAAATGTACCAGTCTCACAGAGTTTGGGTGCATGTGAATTTATACAAGAATTCTATGACATACCTTGAACCTGGGTGACACCCGTTTTAAAGACCAAGAATATGTTCCTGTTTCATCCTGTTTCTCACACGGAGGTCACATGGGTTAGTTCTGGCATGTTATATAGATATACATCAAACCCTACCCCTCTTGGTGCTTCTTCACCACGATTCCTCGCGTTCGCCACGTGCGCGTTCGACGGGACGGCCGCCTTCTCCGGATGAGGCAGGCACGCTGCGGCGAAGGCCAAGCGCAGCCTCCCAGTGCCTCGAAGGCGAGGACATGCCCGGCTGAAGGAGCACCGGTCCTAACGATGTGATCTTCAAATGAAGCTCCTATAGTCCGGTCCGATATTGATCTGCCTATAGTACTTTTGATGATGATGATGATGATGATGATGGTTATGATCTGTCACTACTAAATGTGTTGTTGATAAATCTGTTTGTTATTGTTTGCTTTGATAATATGATGGTGGTCATTAATTAAGCGTGCTCGCATGTCTTTACTAAAAGAGTGCAAATGGTATAAAGGCCCACCCGGAGCATACACCAAAACCCCATGGGTGAGGTGAGGTTTTGGGGAACCCCTCGCCGCCCTCTCCTACTGCGCACCCAAACGGCTGTGGTTCAAAACCTGAACACCTGGAGCCCCAAATAACTACTTGGTATTTGTTTGTCTTCCTTTCATGCCTGCTCACAAGAGCCCAGGGGTGACTCTTTTCTTTGTTTAGACTGCGCAGATCGAGATCGAGCCCTAAACCTTAGGTAGGTTGGTCATTCAGCTTCAACATGTTGTCCAACCTAGTCTTCACCGCCCCGTCTTCCAATCCGCCCGGATTTCTCTGCCGCCTTCGTCGGAGGCGGTGATGAAGTCGGAGAAGCACCGCTCCTCATGAAGTCGGGTCCCGGAGCGCTGATGCCGGGGATAAGAGAAAGCCTGGCCTTTGCCTGACAGGATAGAACCCAAGTAAGCTGTTGAGGTCGATGGTGGAATTGGACCCCAGCGGAAAAAAGGTCGAACAAAAGCACATGAGACATCATGAGACATACTGGCAACACTGATGAGTAGCGGTTAGATGATGAGCAATGAACTTATGACTTATGTAAATTGATTATACATGGTTCGTTCAAATCTCAACCACCCCCCCAAAAAACTGAGAATGCACTTCCAGGACCCTCCAACAGGTCGTCTGAGACGATGTGTCAGACGGGCCGGGTTACTTCATTCGTCACTTCCAGCAAAGGCCCTGATCGTTGAGAGATTCACCTCCAGCAGGTTGGGGGACACCTCCCAGTTTGCAATCAGACCACAGTCCCAAGTCCCACAAACACTGGTGATGTGAACATGTACCGAATATGCTGGTGATGGCGCTAGAAATAAGTCATGTCCTACATGTGATTTTGCGTTGCGGTGACATGGAGTCGTCGATAGACTCTTTGGACACTTGTGGACACCCATTGGGCCAAGCATGTGGCGGTTGTTCAAAAGTCCTTTCATTTTTTCCAGGCCTTTCGCAGGACCTTCGCGAAGCTTTCGCGCGTGGGGTTTTACCACTGTCGGCGAAAATGGTTTTTCGTTGGGGCTAGAGGCTTTCAAGGATAGTTGCCCTGGCACGTCTTGTGTCCTCTGAGCACTGACACATTGATTGCTGAGGAACAGGAAGCCAGCGAACCAAGACATTTTCATGTTGGTGTGTTTTTGGTTGGGCGCAACCCTCCATGAACAAGAGACGGCTCAGTCAGGCCAGTTTGCTCAGACTTCCAATTTGCTTTTTCCCGGGCCTGGAAAAAGCAAAATGGTTCAGACTTCCTATTTGCCGGGAAAAAGAAATGGTTCAGACTTCGAATTTGCTTTTTCCCAACCCGGGAAAAAGCAAAATGGGTCAGACTTCCAATTTGCTTTTTCCCGGGCCGGGAAAAAGCAAAATTGCCAGACTTCCAATTTGCTTTTTTCCCGGCCCGGGAAAAAGCAAAATGGTTCAGACGTCGATTTTGCTTTTCCTCAGCCCGGGAAAAAGCAAAATGGTTCAGACTTCCATTTTGCTTTTTCCCGGGCCAGGAAAAAGCAAAATGGTTCAGACTTCCAATTTGCTTTTTCCCGGGCCGGGAAAAAGCAAAATGGTCCAGACTTCCAATTTGCTTTTTCCCGGCCCGGGAAAAAGAAAAATGAAATTTCTTCCAATTTGGAAAGCAATCTGTGGGGGGCAGATTGCCTTCTCCGGCCTGGAAATAAGCAGCACCGGTGAGGTGCGAGCTCACGACCTTCTGCTTATGAGCCTGGCGCCTTATCCATTAGGCCACAGCTCTCTGAAAAAATTGCTTTTTTCCAGGCTTTACAAAAGCAAACTGGATGTCCAATTTGCTTTTCCGGCTCAAACTTCCAATTTGCCTTTTCCCGGGCCTGGAAAAAGCAAACTTGGAAGTCTGAACCATTTTGCCTTTTGCCGGCCTGGGAAAAAGGAAATTGGATGTCTGGACCATTTTGCTTTTTCCCGGCCGGGGAAAAAGCAAATTGAAAGTCTGAGCAAACTGGCCTGACTGAGCCGCCTCTTGTTCATGGAGGGTTGCGCCCAACCAAAAACACACCAAAATGAAAATGGCTTGGTTGGAAGTCTTGACCATTTTGCTTTTTCCCGGCCCGGGAAAAAGCAAATTGGAAGTCTGAGCCTTTTGCTTTTTCCAGGCCCGGGAAAAAGCAAATTGGATGTCTGAGCCATTTTGCTTTTTCCCGGCCCGGGAATAAGCAAATTGGAAGCCTGAACCAACCATTTTGCTTTTTCCCGGCGCGGGAACAAGCAAATTGGAAGATAGGAAGTCTGAGCCTTTTGCTTTTTCCAGGCCGGGGAAAAAGCAAATTGGAAGTCTGAGCCTTTTGCTTTTTCCCGGCCCGGGAAAAAGCAAATTGGAAGTCTGGACCATTTTGCTTTTGGCCAGCCCGGGAAAAAGCAAATTGGAAGTCTGCCCGAGATAAAGCAAATTGGAAGTCTGCACCATTTTGCTTTTTTCCGGCCTGGGAAAAAGCAAATTGGAAGTCCTGAGCCTTTTGCTTTTTCCCGGGCCCCGGAAAAAGCAAATTGGAAGTCTGATACATGTCCAATTGCTTTTTCCCGACCCTTGGAAAATTCTTTGTCGTGGGAAGCTGCGCAAGTATGGCGAAAGGTTCGCATTGTGGACGCGAAAGACGACAGGGCCAAACCCCACCCCACCTCGACTTTCCTATTTGCTTTTTCCAGGGCTGGCTCAGACTTCCAATTTGCTTTTTCCCGGGCCTGGAAAAGCAAAAGGCTCAGACTTCCAATTTGCTCTTTCGCGAGCCGGGAAAAAGCAACATAGTTCAGACTTTCAAATTGCTTTTTCCCGGGCCTGGAAAAAGTCCAATTTGCTTTTTCCCGGGCTGGGAAAAAGCAAAATGGTTCAGACTTCCAATTTGCTTTTTCCCGGGCCGGGAAAAAGCAAACAGCTCAGACTTTCATTTTGCTTTTTCCCGGGCGGGGAAAAAGCAAACTTGTTCAATTTGCTTTTTCCCGGCCCGGGAAAAAGAAAAATGGTTCAGGCTTCGAATTTGCTTTTTCCCGGGCCGGGAAAAAGCAAAATGGTTCAGACTTCCATTTGCTTTTTCCCGGGCCAGCAAAAAGCAAAAGGCTCGACTTCCAATTTGCTAGCTGGGAAAAAAGAGTCCCAGTGGCTCACTCCGGAGAAATAATTTGCAACTGGGGAGATGCGAGCCCAGGACCTTCTGCTTCTGATCCTGATGCCTAATCCATTACTCCACAGCTCCTTGATTTTAGTTTGTAAACCTGATACAAGCTGCTTTTTCCCACTTTGACTCAGACTTTCAATTTGCTTTTTCCCGGCCCGGCGAAAAGCAAAATGGTCTACACTTTCAATTTGCTTTTTCCCGGGCTGGGAAAAAGCAAAATGGTCAAGACTTCCAACCAAGCCATTTTCA